CCCACCTCTCCACCCACGCCAGGTTTCCCAACAAACGCTCAGGCAGAGAATTTCCCAGCATCAGCCCAGAGTGACGGAGAGCGATCGTTATCAGCACCCAAGCAGCCGGGGCACAGCACTCCCCAGCACACGGGCCCGTCCTTCCCAGAGCCCCAGAACAAAACCAAGACCCAGGGACGATCAGGCTCCTGGGAGGCAGCGACCCCTCTGCCCTCCCTTCCCATGGGCATGCGGGAGCCTGGCGAGGGGACGAGGCTCCACTGGGAGACCCTGGCCCTGAGTTACACCCCGGGGTTGCTCTCAGAGGAAAGGACAAGAGGGACTCTGGCACAGAGCATGGGGGACAGCTCAGCCGAGGGGGAGGCCGGTGGCACGGGCCACGCAGACCGCAGACCTGTGCCCACACGCTCTGCAGCAGGCTGCCTGGCTCGACTCTGGCTTACAAGCTGGGTGTCTTTGCACTAATGACTTTGCCTCTCTGTGGTTTGGGGTGAGTTCCTGGAATTCATGTGTTAATGGTATTTGGAGGTGGGACCTTCAGGAGGTGATTGGGTAAAGCGGGTTCCATTCTCATGAATGGATTCATGGATTAATTAATTAACTGTTTAATGGGTCACCTTGAGAGCAGTTGTCTCCATGTGACACCCTCCACCATGTTATGATGCCATACGAGGCCCTCACCAGGTGCTGGTGCCATGCTCTGGGACTTCCAGCATCCAGAACTGTGAGCCAAATAAACCTTTTTTCTTTAGGAATTATCCTGTCTCAGGTATTTTGATGCAGTCAGAGAAAACAGAGTAGGACACTGGTATAAGCACCTACTTTCTCATTGGGTTGATGGGACCGAAGAAGACAGTACCATGACCCTTATAAGCCTCAGTGCCCAACTAGTACAGTGAGAGCCAGGTATCAAGGAATGGTGGGTGTCACACGATGCTTCATTATCGAGACCTGTGTGTGCCAACATTCTCTATGCATTGTCTCATTTAATCTTCAGCACAGGGGGGTCTGTTTCCCATCCCCACCCTTTTACAGGCAGTGCTGGGGATAGAATGTGAGCCTCATGCAAACGGGGCAAATGCTCTGCCACCCAGCCACGCCCCCAGCTTGGGGCACATTTTTGAGCTGAGTTCTGAGTGCTGAGAGGGAAGACCTCACCCAAGCAGAAAGCAGAGGGCCCTGGCCGGCGGCCTCCCGCTCCAGCCCCTTCCACCTCATGGCCCCGGCCGGAATGAGGTTCCTTGGGGCTCGAGATCAGCGACGGCTTTCTGCTGGGCAAACACCTGAGATCGGGGCCTGGGCTGCCCGACCCTTGTGCTTCCCAGGTGAGGACGGGACATCCAGAGTTCCGCACCTTCCACCCACAGGAGGCCCGGGAGCTGGGAGTGAGGGTGTGGGGACCTGCCAAGCTTCCCCTCCTACCAGCCCCCACTTGGCCACACCCCAAAGTCCCTCCAACACGGATCGGCACAAGAGGCCAAGTCCTGAGCCTCCTGGCCTCAGGGTCTCCACTGGACAGAGGGGAGGGTTGGCTCAACCGCCCGTCCAGCCCACACGTCCCCAGTTCAGGGCCCCCCATCCCACTGCACCTGTCCTGCTGCCCACAGCTGGGCCATCAGAGCATCGTCCATTTCAAACAGACTTTCCCCATCTCTGTTCCCACTCCACACCCCCCATGCCCACGGAAGCTCGTGAGTCCTGGGCCCCCCAGCAGCCAGCCCTCTGCCTGCCTGCTCGGGCGCAGGAAGCAGGCCCCCACTGTTCGTGGCCTGGGAGGGTGGGGGAGGTCTGACTGGACCCCTCTGGGTGTCATCTCATCCTGCTGAGACTCCCCTGGCTCTGGGAGACAGAGCAGTGGCATCCCCGGGGGTGGGGCCAAAGGACTCGCCCTGTGCTGAGCACCGAGCACCTGTGCTGGTCCTGGTGCCCGGCGGGTGGCGCTGCCCTGGGGTGGAGCTAGGGAGTGGACCCAGGTCCATCCGCCCTCCTTCCCAGGCCTCCCTGAGATATCAGAGTCAGCTCTAGTGGCAGGAAAACACGTCACCTTCATTCACAGAAGTGTGAATCATAGGCCCATCTTAGGGTTACTCTGGGGACACTGTGGTGACCTCCCCCTTATCAGCTTGAGTGAGGAAGGAGGGCCCCTGAGGGAGCTGCGTGAAGGAGCCGGGCAGCCACGCCTAGGAACGCCCCGTCTCCTTGCTAGGAGGCGCCTCTGCTCCCCGGACAGCCCTGGCCCTGGCCACACCACGGGCATTTCTTGCCCTTTCTTTTAGTCATGGTCCCTGATAAACGGCAAAAAGCTGGACAGGAACGTCATGTCCCTTGAGCCTTGTCAATCCCGTCACTTTTGTCAGGACGGTCCTGTCTGATGGGGTCAACCAACAAGCAGAGCGCAAGTGTTGGCCACAGGGACACCAACTGCAGAACCCAAGAATCCTAGCATTCTAGAAACTTCCAAATGGAAGAGTGGAACATCGGGTGCTCAAAATCTGTGAAGCCCAGAAATCAAGAATTCTAGAATTGGGGCTGGGGCTGGGGCTGAGTGGCAGAGCACTTGCCTTGTGCATGTGAGGCTCTGGGTGCGATCCTCGGCACCACATAAAAGTAAACATAATAGAAAATAAACGTAGTGTGTCCATTTACGACTAAAAAATAAAATAAAATAAAGAACTCTAGAATTGCATCCTAAAAAAATCCCCACCTGTTAGACCCCCAGAGTCCCGAGTGGGCTGGGAGGGCAGAGGCCCCCTGCTCGTCAACGTCCCTGGACAGTGGCCCTTCTCACAGGGAGGGAGCATCCAGGGCTCTGCGAAGGCTGCGCCAGGTCCCTCCTCCTCCGGGACCTTTCTCTCCCACAGAGGAGCGGGGGAGGGCCTCCTTCCCTCCAGAGGGCTCCCTCCCCTCCCGGCCCTTCCCCCAGCCTGGACCTTGCTTCCCTCCCTGG